CGGCGAACAGTGACGAGGGCCAGCAGCAGTGGGAGACGTTGGGTTCGCATAACGCCGAAGCCGTTGCGTAGGTGTCAAGTCGGCTATCGGAGAACGTCGAAGCTGAGCGAGCGTCGGCGTGAGTTGACTCACAGCCATCGCTGGGCTTGCAAGAACCGCAGCCGAGCTCACCGATGGAGTCATATAAGAAGCCGGAACCTCTAAAGACGCGGAGCTCTGTATTGGTACACTGGGAGCAACGTCCGGTACAGCAGCAGAAACCGGAAGCATTGCTGTGGCGCTCAGACGAGGATGGACTATCATATCTTCCTGTCGAGAGTCGCCATCAGAGATGCTGAGTAACTTGGTGAAGCGAGACTCCATGATACGACACAGCCGAGCGTTCAGACGAAGGTCGGACGTTCCGATTCTAGGAACGCCCAGCCCGGCGCCAGCGGCAGTAGCCATGTGAGGACATCACCAACTGAGCGTGCCGTAATGGTTGATTACCGGTCGAGCTGTACAGTTGCAGTGACTCCTGCAGCTGCTCAAAATGTTTAGAAGCAATGCCCTGAAGAGTCATATACGCTGCGTCCTTCTCGGTGATGGTCTGGAGGAGAGTCGCGATCTCAGCGTCTCGATTCACAGCGCGCTGATGGTGGAGCCGATCCTGACTCAGCGCATCCAACCTTGTCTTGCTTAGCTTTGACAGTCCGAGTGAGGTTTGCTTCACGCAGAGCTACAGCTTTTCGCAGTGAGGTGAGGTGATTCGCCGACTGTGTGGCAGCAGCCTCCAATCGAGACACATGCAGCTGTGCCGACGATAGCTGAGTTGTTGTCTAGAGCGAGGGTGTCCAACCGCCAAGTTAGTGCGCGATTATCGGCTCTGGAGTCCTGAAAGTCAGCTCTGAGGCCCCCGATGACCTCGAAGTAATCACGAGCAGCATAGTGACCACTCAAGATATCCAACAGTTCCTCCGCTGAAATAGTATGCAGGATCGTTCGCCGCTGGGCGGGATCGGAAGGCTCCACGGAGCAAGTGAACCCGTAGGCCATGATCCTCACTAAGAAGGTCAATTCCGCCCGGCGCTCGTATCCCTGCTGAGTAACCATGGTCATGAGGCAGTCAAGGCTCACTGGGGCAGCCGAGCTCGGCTGACTGTTGGCGCCCGAGGTGGTGTCGCCCGGCAAACTTGGTGGATCAGGAGGGCGCGCGAGAGGACTCCGCCGACTCCGCGTCAGACTTATGGGATGCTGTCAGGTCGACCAACCCAGCTTCATGCCGGTCGCTGACACCACGAGTGCCGACGGGTCGAGAAATCGACTTAGCGGACGCGCCTTCATCTCGCCGAGGAGAATGATGGCGCCGTGAATTATGCTGGAGAAACAGACGAGGAGCGTAAGGAGCTGCCAAGTGAGCAACAGCGAAACCAACAAACGTACTTAAGAAGGTGGTGAGGAATCGCGAGACGCCATCAGCCGAGTATGGACAAGCCGTGGCAGAGCCAAATGAAGGATTAAGACACTCACCAGCTCGGCTCGTATCATAACCGGGGCAGTTGTGGTGTAGGGATTCCCAGATTCGGCCATACGTCAGCCTACTTTAGATCAAGAATCGGCTCGGTCTGATAACCCAGAGCTTAGGAACAAAGACCCACGATAAGTACTTAGCGCCAAGCGATTAGGTATGTCCGGGTAGGACAAAAGTCTCGCTACGTGCGAAACAAAGCCCTGCGAACTAAGCGGGCCGGTACGTCGGATAGTCCGGGTGCCGTGACACTTCTAGATGAGCAGCCTCTGCGCTTGGAGACCTGTATAAGCGCTCGCGCGCCGTTGTCCATCTTTTGATGGAGGACACAGGGTTTTGTGAACGAGCTCTGCCGAGTCAAACTCGGCGGAGCCTCGGAAGTCCTCTGACTTGGTTTGTCGGAATTCAGTGGAAGCGAGCCACTCGTCTATCCCGGCTGGGCGTAACCGCGAGGGGTTCCCCTCTGCGCAGGCCATACAAGCGCCGACGTAACTCGGCGATTGGTTGTAGTTTGTGTAAGGAATCCACATCTGACGGTATTTTTGTGCTCCTCTACACCACATCTATCAGTGAGTTGTTTCCACTTTCGACAAAGTGTGTACTGCGCCACCCGAAAAAAGGAAGCCTTAACGACGTTGGGGACACCTGCGGTATGACTTGAATAGAAACTGGTTCTTGATGCGACGGTAGCTGATCGTTGAAAGTAGATACAGGGAAATTTACGGGCGGTAATGGATTAAGACCTGAGACGAACGAGTAAAAGTTTGCATGAACAGTTCAACAATCAGTGAAGATTGAGGATATCTAGTTTCCGACGGGATCTCCATAAACACGACGAACTTTCGCAAGTGCAACAGCGAACTCATTTTGCGTTTTGGCACCTTGAATTTTTCAAATAGCGTTTTTGATAGCTTGTCCATGTAAACTAAAATGTGTTTTATGTTTCGCAGTAAGTGAACTGTACAAAAGCGTAAATTCACCAGAACGCCATGTCGAGCTCGAATTATCTCTACAGCCCCAAACCGTTTGCCTCTATCACAAAAGGCTGGTGTCTGATCCAATCCATTACCACCCATAAGTTTATGTATCTACTCACAGCACTCCTGAATGTATCGTCAAACAAAACGATATTTATGAACCTAAGTACGAATCGCGATTTAAGCACTCTAAACGAAAGCGGGGTGTCGCTTCGATCTTGTGAGCACTTGTAAGGTACTGAATGTTTAAATCTGAAGAAACTGTGGTCGCCCATTATCTCCGGTTATGGGCCATCGAAATGACGATACATTTAGGAGTGCTGTGAGCTCAATGTTTTTTTTTTTTTCAATTTTGAAGATCCAAGATTTTTTTATAAGCCCTTGGTAAACGCAACTGAATAAGGGTAGTTTCACAGCTTCATAGAAACTTAACATAGAATGTCACCGCTCTGGTTAAGTGCGAAAATCAATTGGCCAACTTTGAACTCGATTATCTCAATAACTCTAAATGGTATGTATTTAAAAAAAGTGATATAATCGTAAAACCATTACGTATTGCAACCGGTTTACATACAGGTGTTTCTAACTCTTTGTTTAACATTATTGGTTAAGAAAATCAAAGTAGTTTTGATATCTATTTCTATTTAGCTAAGACGCGCTGGTATTCACTTAACATTGCTGCAATTCACAACATGTTTCTTTAATAATTAAGCAATTTAAAGTTTTTTATTTCAATTTGACGGAGATAAGCACTTAACAGGTACTTCGTAAGATTGTAAAGTATTGTACGCCGATATACCTCGGGTTTTTTTATACGATTCAATAAAAATGCTTACCAACACTATATAAGTACTGAAATTCTACCGGCTTTGTGTGACTTTCGTTTGCCCAACATTTTGAATTTCGGAATAAATATTCTATACCGGTACCATTGATGACCCTATTTACAAGGAGTTGCTATTGATATTAAGCTGCAGGCTTCATAGGACTGGTCTAAAGTTGCTGAATGTCAAAGGTTTTGCGGCACAGCTCTTCGAGCTGCGAATAATCATTGAAGTTTTAGGTCTGTTTTCCAGCACTGTACATGTACATTTGTGCGCCCAATTCAATCTCAAGATTGCCGACCCTTGATCGGCGATCAAAAAGCTGCGTTTTTCGACCACACAGTCGCAAAGCAAAGCAAACTTGCAAGCTCTGCGTCAGTATATACACTTACATCGGGCTCGCCTTTACCCTTATACGGATCCTCAAACCGACTGCGATTTTCTCAAATTTATAGTACTATCGCCAAACTAAGTAATGAAATACCTCCGGTAATTATAAACGTAGCTGAGCTTCTGCAACTGAAGGCATTCATAGTGCGTGGGCCCGAAGTGTACAATGGTGTATAATATGATTTCTGATTTGGTGCCAGCTTTTACACTGGTAATAAATATTTTCTTAGTTTAAATCATGTCCCCACCGCCTTTCCGCGGAGGACTTCTTTAATCAGCTTACAACAAACGTGTTCTTATTTATATAAATATACGGAGTGTTTATATGATAACATTACGCCAGCATTTTTGGCGGCTTGAGAGGTATTAATAACAGTAAACCTGTTGAAATTAGATTAATAAAAAAGTGAACAGACAATATTTAAATCTACCGTAATAGTGTAAACTATTCATGGAGTCAATCATCAGATTTACGCTTGGTCATCGTACAGGAGAGATGAACGGAATGGCAGCCAGAAAAACTGGAAATCTCTTCATATATTTTTTTTTACTCGGCTATGATAGCTAGCTCTTAGCCTTACCATCTCCGTCTCCCTAAAATCGACACATCCAGATTAAATGAGAGTGTATCCAATAGTTAAGGCTGAGAAGGGTATATACATAATATACATAGAATCAATACATAATAACTGAAGGGCACAATATTATAAATGCCTAATCTTTAAATTTGTGTTAGAATTTTTATATAAACCGATTCCACATCTTTTCCGCAATTGATTGAGACCGGATTTACGTCTAAGGGCGGCGTGCTATGCCAAAGATATAATTAATTAGAGGTCTCGACATACATGCATCGTGGCAGTTTTGGGCGGCGTCCATGGTGTGGGCTTTGCATACATACGGTGTATTGATACTATGTAAACTCCGTAAACAAATTGGTTATGATGGGAAATGACGAAAAAGGTGTACATAGGTAATTTCTAAATTGAAAAACTGCATCAGTATGCAGTTCTGTTGTGTTTTGTTTTTTAGTGATACTGTAGCACTGATCAAGTCAGCCAATAATTCAACTTATCTTGATATTTAGAGTAATGTATTAGGGTTTGAACTGATATTATACAATATGTGTATGGGCAGTGTTTGCCGGTCTCGGCTACGACAAATCGGAAAGCATTGACGCAGCGTCGCATTTGTCATTTGGAAACTTTCTCATCGGAGATCACTTGCCATACTTGTCGAGCCGCGAAGCGTTCAAGGACTTTCAGAATGGTATTCAAGCCGAATTCAGGAGTTTAATTCTCAATGGTAAAAGGGCTGGTCATACTCATTCGTTTAGCATGCTTTAACGCGGCCTCCGCGGATTCCTTGGTTAAAGGCAGCTCGCAGCAGCTCGCGGTGACTTTTGAACGGGATGGGCTTTCCTCTCGACGCTTTTTGAGAGCGCCTTTGAGCGAAGAGAGAAAGCTTGTTATAAACTTGGCGGGTTTTGGACAAGCTACAAGTGGTACGAAGTCCTGGGCAGCAAAAATCCTTCAGACGATGCAACACAAATGGTCACAGATGCGAAAGAAATCCGCGAACGATATGTTCATCAAGCTCAAACTCCACAAATCGGGCGACCAGCTGTTCAAGAGCCCAAGCTTTTCCAAGTGGCTCACTTACGTTCTAACAAGCAGTAAAACGAACTCCGACATAACAATCTTTTCCACGTTGGCATACTAACAAGAGGTTCGCTCCAGTTGTGGTATGACCAGTTGACGCATACGACGTGAGACTCAAATTTCTAGTTTTCCTTTCTCAGCTTGAAGTGTTGTTGTGGGCAGCCACACAGCATACATACTTAATATAACTTACTTCTTCTTTTGCCAAATAAGGCTCAGGTCCTCTGCAAGCCACGACCTACAGCTAACACCTTGCTGAGAGCCCCTCTGCGAGCCAAGGGTTGTCACTTTGAGATATCTCAAACCTTGTGGAGGCAAGGAAGGCAAGAAAGTAACAATGAGTGAAGAAGGTGCGGATGTGTCCAGAACAGTAACGTTCCAGGTTACGACACGAAAGAAGACTACGGGTCGCGAGCGTGAGTTTATCAAGATCAGTATTCCGCGTTTTAGTGGAGGCTCGGCTCAAGAGTGGCTGCGGTGGATACAGCAGTTCGAACATCTGAGTATCATGAAGAAGTGGACGTCTGAAAGAAGTCACAGCACTTGCATTTAGTGCTTGACGATGAAGCCTTGGATGCGTGGATTGACACAGCGGAAGATGTGGACATGACGGACAAGGATGCCTTTCAGAAGGCATACGAGTCGTGGGGTCACATGTTTGTACCTAATATGTACCACGAGCGGCTCGAAGAAGAGCTATTTCTATTTGCGAAGCGTCGCAATGAAACGGTCGCTGAATGCCATCAGCGAATGCGTCAGATTATTCGCATGCTTAAGAACCTACCAACCAATGCTCTGGAAATAGACGAGCAGTCAATGATCCGTACATTTAAGCGGGCCATGCCAAACGAGTGGAAGACCGCCTATGAGTTCAGCGGAGTTCACCTCACCACCATGCCAAAAGCCGTACAGTACTTCGAGAGACTCGAGCAGTCCGAGCGACGTCAAGGTAAAGAGCGCCATGCTGGAGGGTGGAAACAGCATGCCAAGCAGAATGGCAGTAAGCAGAATGGCGGTAAGCCGAATGGTGGGAAGGCCAATAGTGGGAAACACTTCGGGAAGAAGAACAAGAAGGAGTTTAACTCGTCCAAGCAGTTCCAGTCACGTGATAAGACCAACAGTGATAAGTGGTGTAGCTTACACAAGACAAGTTCGCATAGTGACAGCGAGTGTTTTACGCAGCAGAAGAATGCGTCGAGAGGTGGTACTAGTCAGTGGTCAGCAGCAAAGAAAACGGAGGAGGCGAAGATGACAAACGTCGAAGAAATGGCCTCGGATTACTCGTTCAGCGATGAAAGTGAGTGTAAGGTCATCAGCAGAATACTGAATGACAAAGAGCCAGGCAGGAAGCCGCCAATGCGTCTCCGTTTCCGACTGTGTAAGACATTGCAGGAGCGCGTGGCGTTAGTTGACACAGGTTGCGGAACAAGTTTCATCAATGCCGATCTATTAGCAGCTAATCAAGAACTTGGGTTCGAAATGACTCCCTTGGATCTGACTTATGAGCAAGTCGATGGGTATGTCAAAGCTTCAGGGTCTACGCCAGTTCAATTCCGGTTTATGGATTTGAATTATGGATCTCGCATTACGCACACATTTTCAGTCATTAACAACACCAGAGACGAGATGGTGATTGGACGGGATCTGTTGAGTGCACTCGGAGTAATTGTCAACTTCCGGGACGGAATGGTGGAGTGGAAAGGCAACACTGTGGCAGTGAACACTGGAGACAAGTCCAGGGTGAGCGATGAAAGAGGAGGCGAAGACGTGCAGGAGGAGGTGAAAGAAATCAACGACACGTCAGTGGAACCGAAGGATCTGGTGGGAACGGCAGATATTGACCAATCCACATACGAGCAGATTCTGGTGCTGTTAACGCAGTTTGAGCAGCTGTATAATGGACACTTAGGACGGATGACATTTCCAGATTATATTCTGCCTATGGCAGAACAGTACACGCCTGTCCAAGCTCGCCCATATTCGATTCCAAGGTCTGAAGAGAATGCAGCACGAAAAGAGATTCATCGACTCATGCAAGTCGACGTGTTGGAACAGATCTTTGGTAGCGAGTGGTCTTCCCCAGCGTTTTTCTTGAAGAAACCAGATGGACGTCTGAGATTGCTAACTGACTTCAGAGCTTTGAATAAGTTCCTGAAGCGTAACCCATATTACGTACCCCTAATTAGGGATGTTTTCGTTCGACTTGGTGGTGCAAAGTTCTTCTCAACACTGGATGCTAACATGGGATATTACGCTAGACAACTGGCTGAGGAGAGCAGGCCGTTTACTGCATTCTGTACTCCGTTTGGTAAATTTCAGTATAAGAGACTGCCGATGGGAATCTCAACGGCGCCAGACGAATACCAAGCGTGTATGTCAAGAATTTTAGGCGATTTGGACTTCGTTATCGTCTATCTAGATGATATTCTCATTTTCTCCAGAACGGCAGAAGACCATTTGGAACATCTACGAGTGGTGCTTTCACGTTTGCAGGAGTTCAACGTGACACTGAATGGTAAGAAATGCCGTATCTTCTGCTCTAGTGTGGAGTACTTGGGCTTTACCATTAATGCAGACGGGATCAAGCCCCAAGAGAAAAAGATTCAAGCCATTCTCCAAATCCAACGGCCAAAGAATAAGAAAGAGCTACGTCGGTTTATCGGTATGATAAACTATTACCGGGAAATGATACCGAGTAAGACAGCGATGTTGAAGCCGCTGACGAGATTAACGTCACCGAAGGTTGTATTTCAATGGACATCGAGCGAAGACGACGCTTTTGAAGGGATCAAGAAAGCTTTAGCAAGGGCCGTACTTCTGACCTTTCCCGATTTCTCGCAACCGTTCGAGATTTATGCAGATGCGAGTGGAAAGCAGTTGGGTGGATTGATCGAGCAACAAGGGAAGCTGATAGCGTCGTACTCTAGAAGCCTCACTACAGCACAACAGAATTATACAACGACGGAATTGGAGTTGTTGTCTGTGGTTGAGATCTTGAAAGAGTACAGATCAATGCTACTTGGATTCCCAATTGTGGTCCATACAGACCATAAGAACCTCATTTATCCAACGGAAAATTCCTTACGGGTCAAGCGCTGGAAATTACTTTTGTCGGAATACCATATCACGTGCAAGCACATTCCAGGGAGAGACAATATCGCTGCAGATGCGTTTTCTCGAATGACGTATGACACGAGTAAGAAGACAGGAAATGCTGAGCTAGAAGCCCTGTTAATCGATCCGGTTGAGTGTGTGCTTGACGGAAATTACATCAAGCAACACCAGGATGCAGACTCGACCACACAAAACATAGTGCAAACATGTATGAACGGCACCAACAATCCCGATTATCAGATCGAAAACATAATGGGTGCACGTCTTCTTAGTTGCCAGCATCGTGTTGTGATTCCAAAGGAATTACGTCAAGAATTGGTGGAATGGTATCACACTCAGTTGGTTCATCCAGGTGCGAAACGCCAATATCACACGATGAAGTCGTTTTACTATTGGTCCGGTATGGAGCGTACAATCGTAGATTTCGTGAAGAAGTGCTTAACATGTAAGCGTGCCAAGCTACACGGTGGGCCACAAGCGTATGGCAAACTACCACCGCGTCAAATGCATAACGTCGATCCATTTGATGTAGTGCATGTGGACACCATGGGACCGTATGGTAGTGACCGATACTACGCCTTAACCGTGATTGATGAAGCCACGAGATGGTTAGAAGTATCGATCCAAGAGAACAACAAAGGAAAAACCACTGCAGAGAACTTCGACGTGACGTGGTTATGTCGTTATCCAAGACCAAAGGAAGTTGTATTCGATCGAGGTAATGAGTTCAACACAACAGAGTTCCGTGAGATGCTTGCGAGCTATGCAGTCAAGCCGAAACCAATATCCTCGAAGAATCCTCAAGCCAATGCAATTTGTGAACGAGTACATTTGGTACTAAACAACTGTATTCGCTGTTATCCGGAGGCAGACTGGCGTCAAGTTATTCAATACGCTGCATTCGCAGTACGTGCAAGTTTTCACACGATTCTGGATACAACACCTGCACATCTGGTCTTTGGGCAGGACTTGATTACACGACAACTTCATGAGACGAATTGGAGTTATCTCACTAAGCGCCGATTTGAAGCCATATTGAGAGACAACGGGCACGAGAACACCAAGCGGCTGGAGCATTTCTATCACCCAGGAGATCAAGTAATGATTCGAGTAGCTGCAAAAGATCGCGGCAACAAACACCGTGAGGTGGCCAAAGGACCATACTCCATCGTGGAAGTGCACGGTAATGGCACCGTGACGCTGGATTATGGAGTGACGCAGGAGCGCGTCAACATTCGACGTCTCTTTCCGTGTTGAGCGGCAACTGGCATGGGGGTGAATAACAAGAGGTTCGCTCCAGTTGTGGTATGACCAGTTGACGCATACGACGTGAGACTCAAATTTCTAGTTTTCCTTTCTCAGCTTGAAGTGTTGTTGTGGGCAGCCACACAGCATACATACTTAATATAACTTACTTCTTCTTTTGCCAAATAAGGCTCAGGTCCTCTGCAAGCCACGACCTACAGCTAACACCTTGCTGAGAGCCCCTCTGCGAGCCAAGGGTTGTCACTTTGAGATATCTCAAACCTTGTGGAGGCAAGGAAGGCAAGAAAGTAACAATGAGTGAAGAAGGTGCGGATGTGTCCAGAACAGTAACGTTCCAGGTTACGACACGAAAGAAGACTACGGGTCGCGAGCGTGAGTTTATCAAGATCAGTATTCCGCGTTTTAGTGGAGGCTCGGCTCAAGAGTGGCTGCGGTGGATACAGCAGTTCGAACATCTGAGTATCATGAAGAAGTGGACGTCTGAAAGAAGTCACAGCACTTGCATTTAGTGCTTGACGATGAAGCCTTGGATGCGTGGATTGACACAGCGGAAGATGTGGACATGACGGACAAGGATGCCTTTCAGAAGGCATACGAGTCGTGGGGTCACATGTTTGTACCTAATATGTACCACGAGCGGCTCGAAGAAGAGCTATTTCTATTTGCGAAGCGTCGCAATGA